TTTAAATAGACTCAATCAATTTGAAATTTGTCTTTATAGAAAAAACTAACATTTCTTTGGGCATCTAGGTAGGCTGTGCTAGAGGTCTTTTTTTTCACTATGCCGTCGAATTTAATAATATCGAATAGTAAAGGCATTCTACGTGGGACAATGTTATTTTTGCTAATATTTAGTACCACGACGTATGTTAAAGCCAAAAGCCTATTTGCTTTGTAGAAAAACTGGTAAAGTTGCGTTTGCGACGATGATGCAATTATTTTTGAAATTACACTTTATCAATAAAAGTGTTAAACTAAAAAAAAAAAAAAAAAGTTTTGCAGTTAAAATGATGTCGACTATATGTGCACAAAACACATATGGCAATAGTACAAACAATTATCATTATTGCACTCGTTCGTGTTGATTTTTTATGCAGATACAAATAATAAGTATAACTAATAGATTTATATATGTTGGTTACTCAATGAATATTTTGAAGCAATACATGAATCAGTCATGCTAGACGAATTCAAACAACGTAGACTGTTTTATTTTAGCAAATAATTGTAATGATTTATGAGCCATCGAACTTGCGTTCTTGAAATTTGTACAAAAAATTTATGACGTTATACTTTGTGTGTTTAGAGTACATGTTTTATATTTTAAATACTCATAATTTTAGTACTTGGTTGTTTTTCTGCGCTCGTTTGTTTGTTCAACATTTTCCCTCGTCGCGCAACCCGTCGAAAACAATGTCTACTCATTTAAAATGGCAAAATATTGTGTATGTAATAATAATAAAACCTGTAACGCGCGCATCGTTGGAGACCTTGAAATTTATTGCATAAATTTTTCACAATGTGTATTAATGTACACTTACGTGTGAGGCCTCTGAATTTTTGTTAATTATTAATCGCGATAACCGTCCGTTATAATAGCAATATAATGCGTGTTGTTCACAAAGACCATAGGCCATGTTTTCCATGAGCCTCGCTAATGATTTGGCATTACAGCAATTCTACTGTTTGCTATTATTTCATTTATTTTCCTTCGCAACACCGTTGAACCTACACGTTTTCTTTTTGAAATTTCATTGCCCGTGCTTGACAAACTCTTCACTGTGATTTCTAAACACAACTAATCGCGTTGGACCGTCGCCAATGTAAAATAATCTCGGGGCTGAGATCTGTGGACATTTTTTTTTGAATTTCTCGACTAAATACCAACTGTCGAATTGACCGGACAATGTCAATAATCACAGCGATTTACACGTCCGACCGTATTGCCTCTTCTACCCAGTCTCGTATGCGAATATGTCTAATCTAATGTAAATTCCAAGGTGGTAACTCGATGCGGACCAAACGTGCCGTTTTGAAGACGTTTAAAAACCTTGAAGCTAATTGATTCTCGATTATCGTTTGATTTTCGTCGAAATTACAAATGCGTTGCGCGTGTCAAGGGATGTGTTATCTAGTTAATTTGTTGTTTGTATTCCAACCGATGATCAATGTGACAGGGTCTGTGCAGACTGCAATCGACGATTTTCACGATTAATGCAATGCCGTGGGAGGGAATGTATGATTCCCAACAAAAATATCATAAATGAATACATTATGAATGACGACCGTGAAAATGGTTGGGCGCATGTTGAATTATTGTTGTTATTGATGCGCGCAACAATTTTTTAAGGTTAATTCAAGATCAAGGCTGATGTGACCGCTCTGATACCGCGGCAAGTGGCGGCCAGCCAGCGGTAGAGGTGATAGAATTCGCACGCGCTAACTGCGGCCAGCCACGGTATTATATAGACGTGACCTCGTCCACAGGCAATTGCACCGGGCCACATGAAATTATTATTTTCTTCTTTCACTCGTGTCCACACCAGTTGTAATCTAATAAATTAACACCATCGGTTGTAATGTTTCTCCGGCCGTTCGGCACAAGTCTAGACGCAAATATAACCTCCAAGACTTCCGTGAACGTTTTTCAATAAAAATACCTACTCCGAGATAATTTTAAGAAGTTTCTTTGCAAAAATAGACTTGCGTAACCAACAATTTTTATTTGACTTTGTTTAAAAATATTTCAAATTTGTTTGTTTTTGTAACTTTGATAAATTGAAGCAAATTGTTTTTTAATAATAAGTGTTCTGGTAAAACACGAAGGTGGCAAATAGAATGGAACACTTGCGGTTTGCGTTAGTTTACTTTTAACTTAATTATAAACCGCCTCCGCACTTTTAGTAAGCCAGCCTATTCTATTAAAACGTATTCTGATTGTTATTTTGATGACGAGATTAATGTATGAAAATTATTGGAAATATTTAGGGTTTTATCTGAAATAGAAAACATTTTCTTTTTTTAATTATATTTAATACTTTCCTAAAAAAGGTCGACCTTTTTGACCTCCGTTTGAGCACGGCGAGGACCCAGATTAAGGAAAAAGAAGTGGGCGTTAGGTTTAACCGAATTATGTGATGAAAGTTTTGACGCTGTTTGCCGGCGACAAGAGAAAAAAAGCATTTCGTGAAAGTATTTTCGAAACTACTGACTATATTATTTAAATGAAAGATAATTTTAAACGACCGCGGCATAGTTCACCGCCTTCACGGGAAATCAGATCGTCCGGATTGCGTTTCTATTCCATTTGTGTGCAAATCGCTCACGTCGGCCTCTTTTTACATGAATTGTTTAAAAAAACAGCCTTGGACACATCACATGTCCATGTCTCTGTACTTAGGGGCCGGTTCATGCAAATTTGATTATTCGGTTGGCTTACGATAGTTTAGTTGAATTATTAACATATTTTCAAATATTTCCGTCGACCGAGTAAATTAATCGCGCTCAGAACGTTTCCAAGGTCGTTGACGTTAGTCCATTTACGTCGTTATCTCTGATGCCTTTAAATAATTTCGTTGTTTTTTATCAATTTCAAGTTCAACATTCAACGATCACAGTGTTCCCTTTCAACAGTCATTGTTGCGAACTATTCGCAAGCTGAATGTCGATACAAAAATATATCAATAAATATGTAAGTTTAGTTTTACTGCTAGTCTGCCGACTAGTAGACAGATGACCTGACTCGAGTCTGAACATTTAAACCTAATAAATGACCGATTGTAGTTCGAACGGCCATTCGGAGAAATAAGAAAACGTTTTCACTGAATCTGTGCACATTAGTGTGTTATTATCAAAGGAATATCCGTTAAACGAGCGTCGTGACGACAATTATTATTATACGGTGTTCTACATAGTGTATACCTAACACACATAAGGCAGTGTGCCGAGTTGGTTAACGTGGGTGACCTCTGTAAAAAACGTATTAAACGGTTCATTTTCTTATTGTTTTTTACTTATACTAGGCCATCTGAAATCGTCTGAGCCAATCTCCTCTCGCACGACACGGCCGGTGCTCTAAATATCTTTTCACAAAACCTGCCGTGTACCGTACGGACATTAAGTAGAAACGCTAAAGACACTCATAAATCGTGTGACTACACAATTATAAGTTCGTCGGTTCAACAATTGATTGGGCCGTCTCTATTAGAAAAAATAAGATATTAAGGTAAACAGGTTTCGGAATTCTTTACACTATTTTATTATCAAATCATTAACAGTACATGTTGTAACTGCCGTACACTTTCGATTTCCTATTATTTTTTATTGCGTTCCCGAGGCAAACAAACGCACAACTCGATGAACAGTCAAAGCCAATGGATTTGGTGTCCCGACCAGACTGTTCTTGTTTTTGTCGATTCCGTTGGTCACGTTGCGTATCGCCGCCCGAGTTATCTGAATGTTTTTTTTTTTTTTTTATCGGCTGTACTCTGTGCTCGCACTTGCGTTTGTTATATTTTTTTACTTAGTATGATACCGTTTCAACTGGTACAGTATTGTTCCACAAGGTCATTGGCGTCGGAAACGTTATCTTTCTATTTTCAATACACCAATGTCAAACAAAACTGTCAGTTGTTTTTTTCTCCGACTGATAAAATAAAAAAAATTATAATTTATAATAATTGGATGTTAATAACCAGTATTATTAACTATAGCAGCTGCTGCAGTGGTGTCACTTAGGAAAGCGAGCTCTAGTTTTTATACTACAGCAAGTAGGTCAACAGACGGCCGAGACGGCATTGAAAATTAATATTATATTTCCTGCGAGCAGGATGTGCGTGGCATCCTGTTTTTTGTCTTTTTTGTTTTACATGCTACTTTTATCTATAATCCGTTGAACAAGGGATGAGAGAGTAAGTGCGATGAGGATAATAAACAATAAAAAAACACCGGCAGTTATTACAATAATCAGACAGTTTTATTTTCAAAAAAATTTTTTATCATTATATATGTACACAAGTATATATGTATAACACATACATATACGAAGACCTTGGATAAGGATTTTCAATAAAACAAAGAAAAAATTGTACAATTAATAATCCCAAGCTTAATAACGAAAAAACAAAATTACACAATGCTAACAAATATAATTTAAAAAAAGCACAATTATGTTTTTCAATAACTTAAAAAGAAACATTGTTACACCTTAAAATTTTTCGTGACGGCTGATTACTAATATATTTACTAAAAAATAATAACATTTGTACGATTTTTTCAACTCGTTCAGTTTACACATTAAAGTATTTCATACATTTCACATAATAGCGAAAAAAAACTGCAACGCACACGAACAAACTGTCACCTCTATACTTTGGGGTTGAAAAAATAAATTATACTATCGCCGTATCGTCTATCACCTTCTCCTAATACAATATATACTACTCGGCTGATTATCTAGTGCACGTCGTATCTCGTCCGAACTCGTGTTTAGGAATTTTATTCTCTTGCAGTTTTTTAGGAAGTCTCTCGCACACGTCACTCACACGGTGTTGAGAGATTGTCTTAATTACTTATATGAAGGAAATATAAACATAAATAATAGTATGCATATGGTGGGTATAAAAATTTGTACTGGCCAACGCACAATCGAATACACGTAGTGTACTCTGTTATTACCATGTATGCATATGGCGAATAGGTAAAACGTCCTCTTCTTTCGGCACTGGGCGGCCGAAAGCAGAGAACTTGTGTTCACGTAAAATAAAATAAAAATGGCTTGACACTTCCCTCAGTCTCAAAAATTTATTTCGAAAACATTTATATATAATAATAATAATTAATTTAGTTTTTTCATCATTTTTGCCGTTAAGCAAAACTTAAAAACAATATTTACAATTATTAAAAACAAAAATATAAAGAGGTCACTACATAATATTATCATTAATATCAATTTTTTATTTATGTATAATTTTTTAAATAGTTAATGATTAAAAAGGAAAACGTCAATTTGGTTCGCACCGCGTTAAATCTACACCTGAATATATATGTATTTATATAATAATAATCATTACTAATGTCAATTATTATGATGAAAACAAAATCGATTTATTTTTCCAACTTATACAATTCAATAGAAGTTATAACATTTTATTATATAATAATATAGATAAATATCAAATGCGTTTCTCTTAAATATATATATCACAAAAAAAAAAAAAAAGAAAAATTTAAAAAAATATCCGATAATTAAATATTTATTAAGTTGAGGTAATTTCAACTAATCTATATTTGGGCTTTAAAAAGGGTCGTAAATATTCATCTCGTGATATTTTCTTTGTATAAAATTAATGTAATGCCGAAAAGAAATAGAGACAAAAAGAGAGAGAGAGTGAGATAAAATATATAGAGAGGTCAGCTGATAGGAAGAAAAAGAAAAAAATATAAAACTAGTTACGTTATCCTAATTTAAATAATAATTAATATAATCACTATATGTACAAACACACACGAGTCGTAAATATTATTATTATTATTATTATTATTATATTGCCACGAAATTAAAAACAAAAAATAAAAATAAAATAGGAAAACGATCACCGCACCTGTTGATTTTGTCCAGTTTTTTTTTTTTATATATGTTTTGGTCTAGAGAGTGACTCTCGTGAGATCTAGTCGATGCGGCGGTGGTCCATCAATGTCGACGGCTGTTTAGGCTTCCATAGCCACTTGGGCGGGTACCGCTGGCGGGGGAGACCCTGCTGCAGACGCTGGCGGCGACGGGGATAGCTTTTTCGACAGGTTCAACGGTTGCGCGGAAGACGCTGCTGCGTTGGTAATGCCCACCTGGAGGTTGACTACGTTGGGTGACGGAGTGCGTCGCAACATCGGCGAATGGGACGCCGGTGGCGGAGATCTCGACAGGGATGGCGAGAGAACGCGGGCCAACACGGGCGACGCGGCCATCGCGCCGGTGTACGGCGGGGACAGTCTGTTCTGCGCCATGGCGGACGTGATGACGGGCGTGTGCTGCCACCTGTTCGTCTGTGGCGATTGTTGGTATGCGTCTTCGCGCATAATGAAGTTATGGATCACTTCGGTGCGTTTGATTTGTTCCGCTGTCATTTTTGGGCTCTCGCGTAACGACTTGGCTAATGTCGAGTGTGTACTCGAGAGCGATGAGGTGAGGTGATGGTGAAGCTGTGGCGAACGGACTGCTACGGGTTTCACGGCTTCCGCTTCGGCAGAGTCCTTGACACTGCGCAACGCCCTGAACTTTTTGTGCGGCTTGTACGCTTCATCCATTAACGAGTTGGTATCGTACAGAGGAGGCGCTTGGAGCACACGCTTGAGTACGGGCATGTCTTCGATGGTCGGGTGCGATTCGGCGGAAACGTCTTCAGCAGTCGATCTGGGACTCGAGCACACAGAAGTGGGTGCGCTGTGTGGCGTTTGTTTATCCAATTTTTCCGTGCCGGATTCAATACCAGAATCGGTGGGCGAATCTTGTTTACGCTGGTACCGACATGACATGGGCCGGACGATGACTTGATGCAAGTGATCGTCAGATGGAGCGGTTGCGTGGTGTCTGATAGGGCAAACGGCTCCGGCCAATGTGGCGGCCAAAAGAGGTGCGCTAGCGGCGTGTTTGCTTGGCCCGTGATGGTTGAGGTGATGGTGGTTGTTGTACTCTTCGGAGCATACCGATTCAGTACTGGACACCGAGCCCAACGGACTTTTAACGTCGTCCAGTAAGGCCACGTTTTTGATGTCCTCCATATTGGTCTCATCCGACCATGACGATGAACCAGCTTCTTCTGGACTTTTACGGTTCAAATCATCACCGTTCATCATCATTCCCCATACCGAATGCCGGTTGTGATTCTCCTGCTGTTCCATTTGATTCTGTTGTTCGGTCATTTTGAACGCCAACAGTTTTTCTGAGTGAAGAGTATTGAGCGTTCTCAAATCTGGAATCTTCTTCAACAGTTCTTGACACATACCAGGTCTGTCAGGATGGTTTTGCACGAGTACTGATTGTAGTGCGCATTTTAATTTATTTTGCATACGTTCGATAAATTCTACATTACGAAGACCAGGGCGATCTGTGAACAAAAATGAACAAAGCCATTCTAACACCATTCTCTTACATTATGAGAAATTGAACAAAGAGCTTTCGACTACTTACCAGCAGCGATCACTATAACAGCGTTGAACAGCCCTATTTCAGAATCGTTTAGTTGCATGGCGTTGAGCCTTTCAGCGAATTCGAACATAGAATCAGTCAGGAATCTGGCGTTTGAGTACGCGCATACAGATTCCCTGCGTAAAACTTGGCCATTGAGCGTTACCATGCTGTTGCACTGTTAACAAAACAAAAACGATTCGTTAGTATACAGCGGTTGCAATAAAAAAGAAATATTTTTAGTGTATAAACAACAGCTGTGTGATATATCTTACCTCCGAGTCAAACATGCAGGCGAGGCGGACGAGTAAAACTTCAAAAACACCAGCTTTGAGCAAGGTGACCTGGTCGTCTTGAGCCAGCAGACCGAAACCGGGAATGCGCTTAGCGAACTCGACCACGCCGCGGATTGCTGGCGAAAATCGCTTCGAAAAGTCGTTCAACAGTTCTTGTTGTCCGGTCACAGGTTGTGGGCTTGGGTTCAACGGGCAGGCCTTAAGAAAAAAAAAAAATTATACACCTGTTAGTACAATTTATGATGGAGTACGAAGCGCACACGATCACAATAAGAAGACGCGTCGCCGTAGCCGCTGTCGGTTGGCCTTGATGACCGACCAAGGCCGACAACGCTATTAAAAATCCACACGGTGTTTTCTTGTGTAGACAATAGGAAGCATACAGTATCGAGTTTAACGGGTTGTACACGCGATCCTGGTATATAAGCTGTCGGAGGGGAGGTAATAACGACGGCGGCAGCGACAACAAGGCCAAGGTCGGCAGAGAAATTGTAATTTTTATTATCGGAAAATTATTTTGGTGCAAATGTTTTTGAAAATAAATATTTTGTTCAAATGTTTGTCAAACACTTGTGCACAGTGCCAAGGTTCTTCCTGATCAAATTAACGAAAACAATAACAAAATTGTGTACTTACCAGTGTTGGATGGCACAGGGTATAGTTAGGCTGTTCTCGAGCTCTAGCAAGAGTAGGCGCTACTTTGTCCGACGTAAAGTCGCATGTTTCTAAATGAGCTCTGACCACACTGGCTATGAGTCTCTGGTCGTCTTCGAGTTCCGCTACAGCGGCTTTTTCCTGGCACTTTGAGTTGCTACTTTGTTGCATGGCGGCCAGAATGCGGGCTTTTTCTCTTTTGGGTACGCGACCAAATCGCACGGCTATAAAAAAAAAAATCATTTATCAGTCATGTATAATTTTTTTACTATAATTCAAATACTCAAGAAAAAAACACAATATTCAAACAATTTTGCCAATGAAAAAAAAAATAGTATATATGGTGCCTATTACATTTTGTTGTCGAATCGCATTCAGTCAACATATTTTTCTGCGGTTCGCGTGTTCCGACGCGCACTACGTTTACTACACTAATAATGAACAACACGCTACTAGTACGTAAGGGACGTGTCGTTAAGACGAGCAAACAGGCGGCAGCAGCAGGTGCCGGGCAGAAAATATATCCTGCGCACTGTCCCTTTCGAGCGACCACCCCACTGAGTACGACCGGGAAGGGTGAGGTGGATGAAAAATGTGCACACCGGTGGCCTTGACTCGAAACGCCCTTGAAAATGCCACCACAACCTCCGGCGCCAATCGATAACATAAAAATAATCGGTACTGTGAAAGTAATTGAATGAATGCAGATGAAAATATCAAATTAAAGATTTCTATGGGAATTGAAATATTTTTTAAAAAACTCTCCAAAGCGTTGAATGTGGGTCGATACGGCAGCCGTGGGGGCGAACGAGAGAGAAATTAGTGCGGCAATTTCACTTTTACCTACATCGGAACGGCGAAAGTACTCAGCGGTGGGGGACAGTTCCCTCGACGAACTTGAGTAGCGGCAGAGTTATTAGAAAACGGGTTCACGAAAAAAATAAAAAACATATACATTTCCAACGTTCACAACACGTGAATATATCTAATACTCTCTCTAACCGGACAAGTAAAAAAGACAAATGAAAGAAAAATTCAAAAATAAAATATTGAAATAATTGAAGTAAGTATTTTTATGAATAATTTTTAATGAACCATTTGCATATAATAAAATACATACGAGCGTTGTGATAACGAACAACTCCGTTGAGTATCCCTTTGAGTATTGGTAACTTTTCACTCATTTTCGCGGCACTCGCGGGTAACACAATAGTTAAATAACAAATTTTTGTTGCACGCAGCAAATGGCACAAGAAAAAAAATGGTTCGTAACTAGTTTTTAATCGTCGACAGTGTCGTCATTGCGGCCGATAATTAATTGTATTTATTTTTATTTAATTATAATTATTATTCCGGGCTGTCGTTCACACACCACGCGTTTCGTCGTTGTATGTGCGCATTCCCGGACTAAACGAGCGTACGGTTCACGATCACAATGAGCGAGTTTCACGGCCACCGGCCGCCGCGACGATTGGATTCGGCGCTCGACATCGGTGCAAGTGTGTAGGGGGGGACCTGTGATCGGTTTACCAGTGGGCGTCCCGTGTCGTGGAGGGGACAGCGGCAGTCAAGATGGCACGGTTGCCCCTTCTACCGTCGTTTCCCCCTCATTAAAATGTGACGGTGCGGTATCGGCGGGTCAAATGTACCCTTGAACTTGGGACGTCACGTGCACCTCTACCGTCTCTTGTCCCGCATACGCTTCAAGAGTTCCTATAATAACAACACCCCCGCAATTTCCTCCGACCGTGGTGTTATCGGTTAAAATGATAAACGGTACACAAAGGTCGCATTATTGACATCACCACAAGTATTTTTCGTCTTTTCAAGACTCGACCTTGAATTGTTTGCGTTAGGATTGTCGGAAAATATTTGTCTCGGTACATTATTTACTCAAAAGTTTGTTTGTTCTAATTATTTCACAAGCTATGGAATTTTAATTTGAGTTTTTTTAATTAAAATTTTATTAATACCGCACATTAAAAAGAGAAAACTAATTAATCATAAAAATCAATTATAATTTTTTATTCGAAACAAAAAAAAAACAAATATATTTATGGGAAATTTAGTAGTTTTAGTAATTTGACAATGCGCGCTATATATCATACCGAGGTCACAAACGATACGAGTAGAAGGTCGGCAGTTACTTGTGATAATTAGAGATTTTGTTTTGCGAGTATAAAGTTATTCGAATTTACTATCACACATTTCGTATGAAATTATTTTATGACCAATACAGAAAAATTGTTTTAGTATGTGACGCTATCTATTGGCTTCTGTTGTAACATGTAATAATGTAGTGACCGCTAGAGCGCGCCACATCGAAACAATAAGAGAGAACTAAGTTGGCGACCACAGATTTTTTTAGGTCATTAATATATGCACTGAATAAATTATAGAGAATAAATTTACAGCTTAGCGAAAACAATTAATTTTGTTTAAAACAAATTCTAACAGTTTCATCAAACAACCTATTAAAAAACTCAATCAATAAATAAGTCAAGAAAATCCGTCGTGTTGGATTTTGAGTATTATTTAACAACACCGTAAGCTACTTTGATGATGACTATTATTATTATTTTATTGCAATGTTACTAAACAATGCAATTTGCTGAAAGGGGGCGCCGGCTATGTTGTGAACGGTATCGGTTGAGGCCGGAAGGAAAAGGGGGAGAGGGACGGCGGCCATCGACATCGAGAGTTGAACGAACTGCAGAAAACAGGTCATTGCGACCGTTCTTTGTATGCGCATAACAAACGGCCCGGGCATTGCGTCATTACCCGCTTACGCACACTCGTATGTATTGCAAATATTAGCTATAATAATTAAATTTGATACATACATATATATTATTCAGTGACAATCATATAAAAATATTGCCTTCTGCCTAATTAATATAACGATCGAATTTAATATATTTTTATATGCATATTAACGTTATCTACATTTGGCGGAATGCAAATTTATAAATAACACGACCCCAAGGTCTACTGAGATAAAATATATAAACTCGTCCCTGAGTCAAACGAAAAACAATATACATATATAAAAAAAAAAGCATGAACGCATATATTAGGCACATACAGCAATGGCCTACAAGTGTAGTTTAAAATTATACTTACTTAAATACCCTTAATTTAAAGTCATATATCACTAGCTGTGCATAAATATATTTTTGAGTGAGGTATAATTTTTAGAAGAATCAAACACCATTATACTATAAATTATGTATGTATATGACATTTCATATTTTACGGAAAAGAATTCATGTGTTAAATTTACAGACTTTATATGAACGGAGTTATGTAAAAGGTATTAATACAGAAACAGTTGATTAAATACGAATTGATTATTTATAACTAGCCCCATTTGTAGTTAATTATTGCTAAAATAATTTGTTTGTCTATTGTTTAAACATATTGTTTTTAAGTTGTATTTTATTGTATGTATTTTTACTTTATTATTGTATTTTAAATACGATACTGATAAATGAGGTCGAATAAACAATAAGAAAATTCACGAGTATTTGAAATTTTAAGGATCGTCACGTTTTGCACAACGTTGATTATTTTATCGCTGAAGGCGATTAAAAAGACAGAGCCTGTGGTCAATGGAGAGCAAAAAATGTATATATTTTTTTTAATGAAACACTCACCGTCACGACTCATGCCGACGCTGATGCATTTTCGGAGCCTGCAGTATTGGCACCGGTTCCTGTTGATTCTCAGGATGTTGCACTGCTGGTTCTTGGTGCATGGTCGGTATTGGATCTTTTGCTGAATGCTACGTCTGAAGAAACCCTGTAACCGATCATCGATACATGGTGAGTCAGAGTCAGAATCGGTTGACGACATGCCAGCCGCGCTATCCGAATCACCTGCGCGGGATTCAATATGACGGCGCCAACACGGACCGGTCAATATTTTTTCAGTACAAATAGGAGGCATTTTTAAAAAAAAATTTCCCGAATAGGAATTAAAAATAAAAAAAAGTCTTAAACAACAACAGTCAACAGTAAACCGTTATATATTATAGCACATGAACATGAGTGATAATTTATAGTGGATAAAAATAGTTTTTAGAAGTACTGTCGGGGGTCGCACACCGTCGGGTACTGAACGGCAGAACTCGCGCGCGCCGCCGTTCCGCCACAGCCGCTTCGCGACCTACTTGCAGTGCGTTAAACTCTATTGCTGCCTCCTACCACACATTATCAAACACCGCTGCGACACACTACATTATATTATGTATTATGTGTACCTGTGCTGCTAGTGTGGGTTCATGCTATATCCACTCCCACCGGGTGCAAAAAACTGCACGTACACAACCCGTTATACGCACTTGGGCTTATAACAATAAATAAATAATTTATTATTGGTGTTGTCGGTCGATTAACAATTATACTTAAGCACATAATGTAAATATCAGAACGAAACAATAAAGTAAAAGTATGAGTAACGGGCGCCGACCAACCAGTACACACATAAATACGAGTTGATGACCCTCGCTGTCAAATTTCGAAAAGGCCGCCCCTCGCCCGCACAGCATCAACCTCGATACTAAAACCATGTCAATACTCTATGACTGTCCGCATAATGGGCCAATTCGATAATAATGTACTAATAATAATGATCAGCGATCGTTGAACTCTACTATCGGCAGCAACGAAACATTATATTTAAGTGGCATAGGTTTATCGCTTTCGTTATAACTATAACAGTCGCCAGTTATTTTTGCAAGTTAACCGTCCCGCCCGACGTGTACTCCAAATGCCTTTAACATCATGATTGGCCTGTTAAATGGACAACAGATGTGGTAAAAAACGCGCAACGGTCGTGCGAAGGACGAACGCGCGATAAGTGTTCTATGTGCTCGACAGATATAATGGAAAATAATGATTTCGATTGACCTAAAATAATTAACACGACGCTCGTCCCGGATTCAATGATAGATTTCGTTGTACAGCTAATCTATCCTATATAATATCATTGTAAACTACCGAGTGTGCACAATGTTTGTGTGGTTTTAAGTCGGCAAGAGTAAAGTCATTGGCCGATGACGTCATGGTCGGCCTAATTTCACCACGAGCCGGTCCGCCCCGGTTATGTATCGGCGGCCGCAGTGTCAACGCACTCCGGTCGCTCATTGTATAGAACATTACAAATACATAACAAAGTAATGTATGCGTTCGACTGGGAATACCCAATGAGTGGATTTCCAAGTTGCACCGGTCGGGTGACAGTGTGCAGATGGGGTTTTCTTAAGATTACCGTTACCATTTCTGACCGAGGTCAGGGCGGCCGTTAGATAACTGTACTTATTGAGCACTAGAGGGTATTAATCCAAAGGGTTTGATGGATGGCCAGTAGCCGAGGATGCGTGTAACGGTCCCGTGGCGATTTGTCCTTCCTGACCGATCATTGTATAAAAATGCGCACCCTGTCACGACATGTGTCCTTCGGTCCTTCCTTCTTAATAAAAAAGTCAACTACAAACGACCTGCAACGGGATTGAGAATACCCCCCGCTGGCAGCAGCTAACGGTACGCGTAATACCCGTAAAAGACTGCACTGTCAAAGACAAAGCACGCAATTGTATTATTATTATTATATCATTGTTAAATTGTACACAATCGGTTGTTGCTCGAGGTATTATTTGATTAGCTGAATATCAACGAAATATGAATAATCTATAAGAATAAGCAGTGATCATTACTCGAATTACAGAAAATTTTCGTTTACATTTAACGGGAATTTTTTCGATAAGGAATTTTTTATAATTAACATTTCCGTTGCTAGTTTGACGCGGAAACAGGTCGATGATTTTTACGTAACGCCACCGGAAGAAAGTGAAGAAGAAAGTGGACCGGTCCGTTAGACGAGCCAACAGACTTTCCCTATGAAATATTCTAGAAGAAGGCACTCGTCGCGCGCGTTACGTCATGAACATAAATGGCAGTGCCACAACAACAATGGCATGTACGCACAGTAATAAATTGTAAATTTTTTATATCCTTTTGTGTGATACTTTCCACCAACGGGTTCAACAAACCGCCGTTCGGTTATTGACAGTATCGAAAGTATTGTGCACACAAATGCACCGTTAGTGCATAATTTTTTCACGATTATTTGAATTATGCAGTTTTAACAACGAAACAAAATAGTGTTGGCGCCGTCGTAACGTTTTCGCGGAATAGTGCGTTTTTGAAAGATTTCATTATGGTCCATAAATAAAATAAAAATCACTCACTTTGCATCCTTCACAAGAGTGTACGCCGTAATGGAAACCGGAAGCTCTGTCACCGCATACTCGACACAGTACGGTGTTTCCGTCGAATTCTGAAAAACAAGAAAAAACCTCTATAAAAATACACTCTAAATGTGAAAAAAAAAACTGTTTAAAAATCTAATGTGACATTAACCGGAAAATTCTTTGGCTACCGGCGTCAGGTTAAGGAAGTCGTAATTGATTTCTTGGTCGATCCACATGACTGTCAACGGACACTTGGGAAAATAATTTTAAAATCGGTGTACGCGTAGTTGGGACGAGGAGCGCGCGAAAAAACGAACCTCGTGGATTCGGTGCACGTACACATGTGCTCGATAGTTGGGTGGTGGTGTTGTTACGCGAGCAGCACACCGGCGCTAGTACATAGAGGGTGCTGGGATGTACAATATAGGGCCGTCCGCTGGGGACACGCCCACGCTGCAGGTTCATCGACCTTGACTCAGTTATCCGTCGACAAGTGCGCGCGCGCTACACAGCACGAAGGTCGGAGGCAGCGCAACGAATGCGGTGGTGGAAGAGATTTCGCGGTTGCCACCGCCACCGGCGTCCGTTCGCATAATAATAATTTCGGTTTTTATTTTCCTTAAATTAACTCCCATCGATAGAGAGAAACATGGCGCGGCGTCTATTTTTATTGTCATTATTACTATTATTATCGGTGTAAACTTATTCGGGCCATTATTACTATTATTTTGCCCAACAGGTTGTCGACCGTTGCCGCCTCGTATAAATACCTCTTGCACTCGGGACGGGTTCGACGCACGGCAAAAACCCGGTGACATTACCATTATTATTTTGTTATTATTCAAATAATGTAGAACAAGCGCGTTAATGAGAAAGCAGCACTCACACACACACAGCAGTCTTACACTACTACCTATTTACTGTCAGTGTTATCGCACTCCGCACCGTAATGCCATCGACCCCCGATGCCATCGCGGCCACCGTTTATGTGGGCCGCCGAGTCGTTGATCTCAGTCTGGGTTATTCTGGTTAGCGCGAATAGAGGTTACCTGTGTAATTGGTTACACCAATATTATCATAATCCTCGGCAATTATAGGTGACGGCGCTATTACTACTGTCCTTCGAGGTGTCGACACTGTAATACAACACCAAGTTTTTATATTAAAAAATTACACACACTCACAGGCCGTCACCGACATCGGTTCGATAACCTGGCATTGCCGTAACCCATTAGCATTGTATTACGCGAGGAGAGGCCGTTGCACTTTCTCCCCCAGTCCCCCCAATCGCCTGCTAGCGTCTCATGGATATAGATTTTTATTTTTTTGTTTGTTTATTTTTTGGCCTACTCGTCTAAAAATAATTATTTTAACCGTCACCAATTACACAGCAATATCTATCTTTTTTTTTTTTTTTTACTCTCCTTACAACAACTGTTATTATTGTGTTCTACATTGCCGGTCGATTTTGCTTAGGTAAACAATCAGTATTGTGCAACTGAGCGTTGAACACCAAAAAAACATGTATAACAAAATAACAATATTGTTTAAACAAAAATACAATAAAAAAAAATATTTATCCGATCAAATATATCTTTCTGGTAGCTTTTTTGTTTACTCAAGTGAAGTTGATACTACACCGAGTTGAATATTCATGGAGTTTAATTAAATGTCTAATTAATTTTTGTAAAAAAAAAAAAAAATCATTTTATTTACATGTCCAAGTTATTGTTGCGCTAAATGTGTGTGTACATGTCAAGGGGATTAAGGGGACAACGGCGAGGGTGTCAAAATTCGTACACGGCCGTTACGTAAGTAGAAACATGGTTACAGTCATGACCCAGATGTGGTGCGTTGAACTGACAACCCGGCCAGGCCGCTCGGGTCAAGCAACTCGGGACGACGATACCACCAATCGTACGCACGACCGGTGCAAAACGAGTTGTTGGCCCGCAGCCCGCCATCTTCAGAATTGATACAATACAATTTCGTGATATTAATACCGAATCGAAAACCATTTAATGGAATCAAATCGTCGTCCCGTTTTACGGTCTATAAACTCTGTAGATTGGACGCGATTGTTTCAGGGACATCTTTCGTATTCCGTGAAATCTTTACTTGATTTATAAAGAAAAAACTGACTTGACGCCCATGAAGTCGCCTTGAAAACGATAATCTATATTGTATTACACGATGTAAATTAATCTTCGTACCGAACGCATGACACGTTGACATCCAATCTCATAAAAAATCATCTTGTAAAAAAATAAAAGCATTTTAAAATACCACTAACCCCCCACGCATTGCTTGAACTGATTTAAAATTGATAAAAATGTCACAAGTTGTTTGAATTATTATTGGGATAACTGATACATAGTATATACCATAAAAATATGCGTTTAGTTCACATACATAATACGTTTGTTATTTAATATTAAATACTCCAGAGAGAAATGAAATTGATCGCAAAACAAATAGGAGCGACAGTAACGGGAGGTGTAGTGTACAGAAGAAAGCAGTGGGGGGAAGTTGGCACGGATCGGTCGTTGACCGCGCTACCGATTGTGGGTCAACGCGGCCTTGAGTGAGTCTGTGTCTGGTCGCTCAATACTGTTGCGCATGTGCCCGTCGGCCTATTTTCTGGTGCTCGCATAACACTCGTCGAGACCAAAAAAATTAACGAAAATAAAAATAAAAAATTTTACTATGGGAAAATTTTTATTTTATTTTTTTGCGGCCCCTTACCTTGTTTTGTAACGATGGGCTCGTCGTTGGTGACGATGGTGATTCTTGCGACCATTTGTTAATCAACAGAGTACTTAAGGGACGGGTTTTGATTTTTGGCGCGGAACACGGAGGTGATTCGATAGTGTTGATTTTGGCGGGCGGCGTACGTGGTGCGTGTCACACGTCCCGGATCGGTCTACTAACCGGCGTACAGCCACGGCGCGATGAGCTGGGAGCGCTTCACTCACAACCAAGGGTCATTGTCCTTGGCGTACCAGGGTTAACGGTCGGAGAAGACCCTTAGTAACAATCCCTTAGGATTCGCGCGTTGACGTCATCGGTCATCCCTGCGTTTTGTCCGGTCGTCCAATAAATTTCCTCCCAGTGACCCGAATTAGAAACCTATTCGAATGTGTATTCCGTCTTAACAGGAACGACACTCAATTGAAATTTATTCACATCAGGGTGTTTTTTTGGTATCGATAAGGTTCAATATACATTTCGTCTCTCCCACTGAGGTCATGTTGTAATACCTATTGAATTATAGGGCAATTTAATTTTATTGATTATTTTACGAGTATTTTTTTTCTAATCGCCTAATTGGGTCGTACAAAACGCCTATCAGCATATTTTTATTGGTTCTGTTATCAGATAAAGTTGTTTGCGCACACAAGTGTAAACAGTGTATTATTATATATGTACGAATATGAGTGGAAATGTTGAAGGGCTTTTTCAGTGCATTGACCCTGCGAACAGAATTCCACAGCAGTACAACAGTGTTGGGCAATGCGGATTTCGGCGACCAAAGTGCGACTATGGTCGTTACGGTGATAATAATATAATATAAAAAAATATTAATAAATTATCGAGGTCAGTGTACTCTTTTTAGTCCGCCGCGTTACGTAAAACAAATTACGCGAACAAAGAGGTCCGTGGCAATGTGTTTGTGTACACTTGTCAGTTATGCTTAAACAGTATTCACAATGTATCTGTTGTGTTGAGCACAAAGGCGCTGCAGCAACTCAACGCCTCTGGTGGATACGAACCAAAGCGTGGAAAGGGTTGTTGAACTTTCGCGCGCCAACCCCTCGTACCGTAAGGCAGATTACAATAATGTGTCGGGTGTCATCCAAATTACAATCCGCGTGGTTCGTGTACCCCCCCCAAAAAAAGGAAAAATTATTATTGTTGGAGATTCTAGTCGAGGGCAGTTAAACTGAAACCGTAGGTGTACTGGGGGCAGGAGGGTGGTATTGGCTGTTGACGTGTAAATGAACAGCACCTTGTCGAACGGGGTCATCGCAACATTATAACGCTACACAGAAGCGATGAATGTTTTAATATAATTTTATTTTACACTAGTTGTAATTGGCGTACCGCGGATTTTTCATGCAACGAACAGCGATAAACCGAATTTGGGTCAGAGCCGAACGAGGCGGCGGCAGCAAGAGAGGGCCGCGCGGCTATTGAAGTGTGTGTGTGCGAGTGAGAGAAAAGAGGTGCGCTACGTACCGGGGCATTGCTCCCTGGCAAGGGCGACCGTATATAGAGCTTGTTGTATCCCGTAGCAACGACACGGGAGCGATAAGGTTCAAACTAACATATTATTCCTATTTATGTGTGTGTTTGCATAAACGAACCGTCAAGGCCGAATGGGTTTATATTTGAAATCGGCGGGCCTACACCCAACTCGCATAACATCTGTACAACACTGTTCGGAGCCCCCCCGCACACCGTCTCGCGACATGTTCAAGACAATAATAATAATTACAATATCGTTGTTACCTGTCCAAACACATTCGCAATAATATAATATTATTACCAAAGCGCCGCAGTATTATCATCATCGTCTAACGGTACAGCCGAGTTTTCACTTTGGTCGATGAACTCACAGTTGGCGTTCACGTTATAAGATAGTGTGAACAAAAGTGAAACTGGTTCGTGCGAGAATAAAAAAAAAAAACATTACTATTATTACCTATTACTTTCACCGTTAGAAGAACTCTCACTTTTTACTCGCTCGAACGGCGCCGGATCCTATTTACAGTAAAATAGAAGACCTCTACTTACTCCTACAATGCCCTCCGCGAAAATCCATCAAAATATTTCCATAGTACGTCATATTTCAACAATATATACATATTTTTTTTTTAGTAATCAGTTTTATTCGGTATTTTTTCATAAGAAATATGTATGCGTATGTTTTAAAATATACATAGCAGAACAACAAACACTAAAAGTAGATAAGCAGATAAAGTTAAAAAAAATACTTAAATATAATAAAAACACCTTGACGGCCGTTGGGGAGTCGGTAAACGCCGTCGTTGGCATGAGTCGAGAACGTGGTCGGTGCCAATGA